TCATGCAAATGTTTCCATTTTGCTCTCATTAGTTGAGCCAAGATGCCAAACAATGTATAATATACATTTTGCTAAAATATTTGCTTTTGGATATTAGAAGTACAGTATGTTACAGTAAATCACCACTAGAGGTCACTTATTCAAAACAATAACAAAGGCTTAGCTTGATGTTGCCATGAATGTGTGGCTGTGGACACCAAAAAGCATATAGCATAACATTTAGTATATACAATGTTTATAGGACAACATTGGGCAGGATGTGAATTTTGACTTTTTTATTTTTAATAAATAGACAAAAATGTGGGTCTTTTTTTAATCAGTGTAGAAAATTCAGATATATATTGCCAATGAGCCAAAAAAAATACATTTTGCTCAGTCCACTTGCATGCCATGTGACCATTAACTGACAGCATGATCATGCTAATTATTATATAAGTATTTACTTATTCACAAGGGATGCTTAAAGAAAATATTTGAAGTCTCTGGGGTTTGGATGATAAAAAAAGTTTGAGAACTCTTGCATTAGATATTAAAGCAAGTGTGTAAACAAATGACCATAGAGCTTTTCTCAGAACCAACTTCGTTTTTCACATGGACCAGCTCTGAGTCATGCAGTGATGCCAAGGGCATTTATAAAGGAAGGAAATGAGGTAGGTTTTTGATTTCATGCTGTTGGTTTATGCTTTGCTCACAGATTCAACATTCCCAGTTGTTGTCAGGATGCACAAGCGTTCTCTCATGCTGTGTCTGATGCCCGCTGTGTCTTTGATATGGGGGTGAGTCAACGCTCATGAAGTCATGGATCAAATTTTGATTTGATTGTTCCTTTTGTGCCCTGAGTTTCCCTACTGAATCATGAGGGAATGATCTCTTTTGATCTAAATGTCACTTTCGCAGCAGACTGCACAAGTATTTATTTCCCCTATTGTAATGTGTGTTATAAATGACTTTGATCTTAGGAGGAGCTAGGCTTTGAGATGAATATTCTGGACATTGGAGCTGGCTTTGATGGAAGTGAAGCACAGTTAGACAAGGTAATGTATTCTGCTTTAAATTTGTAAGATCTTTTGTTGCATTCATGAATGCTTTTCCCCTCAGCTTCTAATGTTGTTTTTGTGTGCAGGTTCACCAGGCGCTTAAACCCATGCTGGACATGTATTTTCCTCCCTCGACCAGCTTGTCGATCATCGCCGAACCCGGAGCTTATTATGTGTCATCTGCTTTCACGCTGGCCGTGAATATAATCGCTAAGGAAACAGTGGCTCGGGATTGCATCGGCCAACCACACAGTGAGTACTAGTCAATGTTCATGTCAGATATTCATGATATATTGTGGCTTTTATTTTGATGGGGATAAATTGACAAATGTTGGATTAGAGCCCGACCGATAAAGGATTTTTGAAGGATTTTGATTTTAAAATCCGATATTCCGATATATCGGCCGATATTTTATTTATTTATTCATTTAAACTGGACATGATAGTCACAAATTTTGTCATGCTTATTTGAGTTAAGAGAACTGATGGGGATGTTCTTTTAATTGTTATTCAAGCAATGTATGTATCGTGACCAACTCAACAAGTGTTGCCAACAGGAACGGTGTAGAGTGCCCTCTGGTGGACAAACTATACAACTCCAACACTCATGACATGGTTCAAGCGTGTTTCATCCATTTTTATTTTATTTTTGAAATATTCATTTATTGGCCATTATAACTGCCGATACCGATAGTTTGAAAAATGCCTAATATCGGCCGATATATCGGTCTGGCTCTATATTGGATCATCAAAAAGATACGCTAATACATAGTAACTGTTTATTTTACAGTGTTAGATATGTTAAATGTGCTCTTAAATAATGTATCAGAATGGTTAATGCGTTTTATGTATCACTCTCTACGTCGGACACATAACTGTAATCAAAAAGATTAGCCTTTGGCTTGACAAAGTTATCAAACAGTTAATAACGTGTTGCTAATGTTACACAAACCATGTTCCCATTCACCATTTCAGAGTCAGACAGCGGCCTTCGAAAAATCAGCATCCTTACAAATGCTTAGAAAACGTAGAATGTCAAACTTTTTCCCTGGGATTACCTGGCTTTGAAGCACTTCATAGCAGTTAATGATATGCTAAAGCCTACCCATCGACAGGATTGGTTACAGCATGTTTGTGACGTCGAGAACAGGCGATTTCAAACTGTGTTTTTGAGACGGTTTTTGGTTCACTGCAGTTTTAAAGAGAAAATACTCAGCAATGGTGTTGACTTATGAATTTGGATATGGTTTGTCTTAAAGCATATTAAAACCACCACAGAGGGACTTTTAATATGTCTAATGGGTGATCCATTGATCATCGGGTGTTTATTAAACTCTTTCAGAACTACTGTCAGCAAACGATGAGCCAGAGTTTCTCTACTACATGAATGATGGCGTTTATGGGTCGTTTGCCAATAAGCTGCTGTGTGAAGATTCAATATCAATGCCTTCGCCACACAAGGTAAATATTTTTCAGGTTTTTTTAAAGAATATGACATTGCATATGACTAATGCATAAACATTTACATTTAGATGCATGGAAAAAACCCATTTCAGACTTTAGTAAACATTTTTTTGTGGTGGTGTGTTTTTTTTTTTTTTTTTTTTTTTTTTTCATATTTCTTTGAACATCTTCCTTTGTCATTGACCCAATCACAGGCCATTATATTTATATATATATATATATATATTGTTGCGGTTAAAGCTGACATAATGATAATGTGCTGTTTTCCCAGGAGATGAGCGCAGACGAGCCGCTGTTCTCCTGCAGTCTGTGGGGTCCGTCTGCTGATGATCTGGATCAGGTGGTGGAGCGATGTCTGCTTCCCGAGCTCAGCGTAGGAGACTGGCTGCTTTTCAGCAACGCAGGGGCCAACAGTCTGGGGGCCGCCTTCACTAACAGAGATGAACACAAACCGCTCGTCTTCTACAGCATCTCCAAATACGACTGGTATGGAGTGAATGTTTGTGTCTTGGTTTCGAAGCTAGTGCGTTAGTGTTGATTTTTAATCAAATAGTTTTTCTTTGCAGGCAAGAGATTCGTAATTGTGGCGTCAGTTTGGACACGGGGATGAAGAACTTCTCTCTTGGACCATGTTGCCTGCGATCATGTATGTCTGAGGCAGCCATTTCTACCCCAGCTTAACAAAAAGCCACTTATTAATGTCATCATTTTGTAAAGATTGACTTTAAGCGCTTAAGAACCTGAACTCTTCTCAATAGCTTCTAAGACCAGAGCTGAAGAAGTGTTATTGACCAGAACAACTTCATAGCCATCGGAACTGATGGATATACAGCAAATAGTTATGGTTAGCTTTAACAAATGGGCCATTTAGCGTTTACAGATTTACTTCATTTTAAGTTTTACAAATATATATATATACACATTGCATATATTTCCTCTAAGTGAATCAATCATGAACCCAAAAGGGGAAGTTATTTATTAAACCTCGAGTCTAGTTTCATGACATCATCAGATGCTTTTCAAGAAATGTTCACTTGTTTTTGTTATTTGTATTAATAATATGATGTTTTAAACTGGATAATTGTGATCTTCGTCCTATTTGAACTGTTGCAGTAATAGTGCAGCAGATGTAATGGAAACTTTGTAAATTGTTGTGACACACCCAGAAAGCACATGGTGCAAGAATGCCAAGTGTCTTGTACAGTTGTATATATTTGTATGTGTTGCATTGCTGTGACGAGCAAGTAATTGCATTTTAAGGAAAGAAGATGTGTGCTGTAAGGAATTCATAGTGTTATGTAGATGTGATATTGCACAAAATTGAAATTGCATAGCTAGAAGGATCTTTTGGGTCTGAGTTATAGCTTTTCTAAACTATAGTCTACGAGCTTCAGCTCGGATTTTAAGCATCATCTCCTCCGCATTACATGTGTTCTGTCCCGAACGTCTCAGAAAGTGTTGAAGATGGTTGGAGTAAGTGGTGCTGGTTGAAATGAGAGGACACGGTGTTGCTCTTTACTTGCAAGTGCTGTGGTGTCTTACCCTCTTTTGTCAACTGATGAAAAGGAATTTGATATGTGAAATGTGTTTTAGTTTTCAGTATAGACTGTTTTGTGTTTACAGCATTTACCATGTACAGATTTGCTGTCAATAAAATGGCATTAAGTGGCCTTGTTGCATCATTTTATGTTTCCTTTACTGTAAAAAGTTCACTTGTAAACAAATAGCTAGAAACTTCATTTAGATCATCTGCTTTTGTACGCTTCAGGGTTACATCTTTAGCACTGTCTTTTACCAAATCCGGTTTCAGCACAAATGAGATTGAATTGGCATTTTCATCATACTACTGAAAAAATAATGTTTTAAAAAAGGCTTTTTTGGTTTATTTCTATTTTGCAAAAAAAAACAAAAAAACAATTCGACTTCATGGCAGTACATTTAAATGTGAGCAAATAAAAGTAACACTTTATTGTAAAGTCCCATAATGCATTACCTGAAACTACATTTGTTGCCATGTTTAATCGTTGTTAATAAAAATAGAACTGTTTATTGTTTGTTCATGTTGGCCCAATGCTTTACAAGTATGCAATGTAGTTAACAAAGTGTTACTAAACAATATTCAATATTCTCTTGCGGCCATATTTCTAGTAACAAAAAAGCAGGCATGTGAATAAACTGCATTAGTTAAGACAAAAGATCTAAAAGTTTTTAAACAATATTTGAATGATTTCTGAAGGATCATGTAAAACTGAAGACTGGAGTAACGATGCTGAAAATTCAGCTTTGATCACTGTAATAAGTTTAAAATAAATTCACATAGAAAACACCGGTATTTTAAATTGAAATTCAACATTTCAAAGTATTACTGTATTTTTGAACAAATAAATGCAGCATTGGTGGGCAGAAGAAACTTTTTTCAAAAGCATAAAAATAATTGTAATTATTCCAAATTTGAATGGTAGTGTGTGTGTGTGTATATATATATATATATATATATAATAAACTATTTAAAAAAAAATATGCACAAGGACGTCTCCTTGTGTGGGTCTGTCAGCTCTCAGTCTTGGGAGCCAGAGGCTGCAGGGTTCGACCGAGACTGGTGATGTTGTTAAGATGGCACACCTCCTGCTGCCACACTGGCGCTCTCTTGGCTGTTAGATGGCGGCGTGTGTGTTTTGCCAGGTGATCGCTGCGCACAAAGCGACTGTGGCATACGGGGCAGGCGAAGCGCTTCTCTCCCGTGTGTGTGCGCCGATGACGTGAAAGTTCATCAGATCTGGCGAAACGCTTCAAGCAGCCGTCCCAGCAGCACCTGAACGGCTTCTCACCTGCAGGACAAGACATGTACAGGTAACACAACTTTGAGGATGTTACTTTGCCAATTGAGAAACACTGATCTAAATCATGCAAGCATATATTTGGCAAGCCGTTTTAGCTTTTATTCATTTCCAGGATTATTGATATCAACAATTGTATTTTCACTAGTGAAATGTCACCATAGGCTGTCATTCAAAACCAATTGTTGATATCAAGAATTGATTTCTTACAAGTTGAAATTCCAATTTCACATATCAGAAATACAATTATTACTAGTTAAAACCTTTATTTTTGATATCAAGAATTCAAATGTTACTAGTTGAAATGTATATCCTTGATATACACAATTGAATTGCTACTAGTAACAATGTTCATTTTTGATATCAATAATTCAATTTTTACTAGTGAGTGACAATGTTAATTACTGATATCATGAATGTGATTGTTACTAGTAAGGAAGCCATTTTAGATATCTGAAATAATATTGATATCAGAAATACATTTTCAGATATCAAAAATGATCATTTTTACTAGTACCAAATGCCAATTGAATTGTTGACATCAAGAATAGACATTTGAGAATTTAATTATTGATATCAGGAATTCACATTTTTACTAGTAACAATGTAATGATATCAAAAATGATATTTCTACTAGTAAAAAATCAATTCTTGATATCAACAATTTATTTTGAATGGCAGCCTATGGTGGCATTTCACTAGTGAAAATACAATTACAGATATCAACAATTAAATTGATGATATAAAAAATGTAATTGTTGATATCAAGAATTCATATCCTGGAAATGAATAAAAGCTAAAACGGCTTGTCATAATATGTACACACACACACACACATATATATATATATATATATATATATATAGGCTTAAATGTAAGATATACATTTTTTTATGTATATGTATTGCATATAAAATTGAAGTATGACTGACAGATCTCGTTAAGTTTGTTAAAACTCTGTATCGCAAACTTTTGTAAATATGACTAAATACATACAGTATTGTCCAAAAGTGATGTCCGGATTTTCATTTTATTTTAAATATGAGGGAACAGCAAAAGCCTAAACTTGGAATCTGAAAAAACAAACATATAAACAAAAAAAGCATACATTGACTACAACATAATCAATTATTAATATTTCATTGGTTCTCTCTTGTTTATGGTTGGCACAATTTGGCATGTTTCATTCCGTTATCACAAACAAAGCACAGACTCCACGCACAACTATGCATAATGCTTACAAAATCGTTTATAATATTTAATTAAAGGGTGAAGGCTCAGATTTTCTAGGCCGGACATCACTTATGGCCACTATTGAAATTGAATTAAGTGCTGAAGAAGTGTCATTCTCTACCTGTGTGTGTCCTCAGGTGTGCCTTCAGGTGGGAGCTTTTGAAGTATGTTTTCCCACAGTGCGGGTGAGTGCAGACGTAGTCGCGAGTCCGTGCCGGAGCGGATTCAGATGTGGGTCTGTTTGTGGATGAGTTGTGGACAGGAGCGGGAGCGATGGCGGGAAACTTCAAACCACATGATGGTGTTTGTTTAGGGGGCAGAATGACCACGACTGAACCTTTGGCCATCAGACCGCCCACAAAAACCACAGACGCTTGACAAACGTTTGCAAAAGATTGAGAGAGTGGAAGCGTCTGGAAGACTGAAACTGATGGCATGCTTCCAGAAGGAGAATCGGACACCATTGCAGCAGGGGCTGATGGGGGATCAGATCTGAGAGGCTGGAGGTTTACTGCCGAGTCACTGGCGCTTTGACTCGTGTGGCGGATCACACTGATGGCTTGAGATCTGGTGACCCCTGACCCCTGGTGTTGGTCACAGTCTGGACTGTACGGGGGAGTCATGCACGACACGGCCTGAAATAAAACAACAACCAACTCATGAATGTTTCTTGACATTTGTGCAAAAGGCCATGGTCAAGTTATATTATTTTATTATTATAGTGGAACAGTGTTCATATACGCCAATGGAGGAAAAGAAGGAAGAAATGTGGTGCTGGACATGTTTTGATGAATTTGATGAAAACAAAACGTCTTCATGCCTTAAAATTAGAGCCAGACCGATATATCGGCAGACCGATATTATCTGCCGATATTAGGCATTTTCCAAACTATCGGTATCGGCAGTTATAATGGCCGATAAATGAATATTTCAAAAATAAAATAAAAACGGACGAAACACACTTGAACCATGTCATGAGTGTTGGAGTTGTATAGTTTGTCCACCAGAGGGCACTCTACACGTTCCTGTTGGCAACACTCGTTGAGTAGGGCACGATACATACATTGCTTGAATAACAATTAAAAGAACATCCCCATCAGTACTCTTAACTCAAATAAGCATGACAAAATTAATGTAATAAAAATAATTAATTAATTAATTAATAAAATATCGGCCGATATATCGGAATATCGGATTTTAAACCCAAAAATATTTGTATCGGTATCGGCCTTCAAAATCCTTTATCGGTCAGGCTCTACTTAAAATAGCTTGAATGTGACTCGACAGCCTTGAATATGCAAATGAGCCCCGCCTCCACTCACTCACAGCACCTCAGAGATCCACTCGTTGACGATCACACATTAATCTGGGGTGCGTTTCCCGAAAGCATCGTTAGCCAACTAGGGTCGCAAGTTCCGTTGTTGCCAATAGAGTTCAATGGAAATTGCGATCAACTTGCGACCATAGTTGGCTAACGATGCTTTCGGGAAACGCACCCCTGAATGGTTACAAGGTCGTTTGTGACGTCAGAAACATCAGCAATTTCAAACCGTGTTTTTGAGACTGTATTTTTTTCACTGCAATTTTAAGGACAAAATACTCAGCAATACTGTCGACTTATGAATTTGCACATGCCTTTCTTAAAGCGTATTACATACACCACATAAAAGCAACATTAAAATCTTAATTTTCACCAAAGTGGGACTTTAAAATCAATGTATTTTTGTTTTATTTTTTATTATATATGTATATAAATGCAAAGCAAAAATAAACATATTTACATTACAGTAATGAGTTGGAGATTTGCATAAGATTTTAGAGAATACTTTTTTTGTGTGTGTGTGATACTGTGTTGAAATATGACCTGGATCTGTCTGTGAGCTTCACCTCTGTCTCACTCCCAAAGGACGACTGGTGGAAATCAGCAGCGACTGAACACACTGAATCCTCACAAGCATCAGAGGAAGGGGTCAAGGGCCGAAATTTCCTCTTCTGGACATTCCCGGACTCCCAGTCGATGTTCATGGATATCAGGGCCTCCACAGCTTCTGAATGCCTCCTGTCGGTGTCTGTGCATGTCATACGCTGCTAGATGTGAAAGTACGCGGATATGGAATATAATGATATGGAAGAGAGATTATCATTTCTCCCTGAAATTGACAATTTGCATAACTTCACAAAGTAGCTAAAATGTAATACTTTAAAAAGTTCTTATATTCTTTTTATAAATAATAATAATGTTTTATTTTTAATACTTAAAAAAAAAAATCAAGGTAGTTTTATTAATAAAATAAAATATTTTCATATCAATTCCCATCAATGTACATAATTTTCTAATGGCTTTTATTCTAAAATAGCATTTAATACATGAAATAAATATCATAGAAATCAAACAAAAAGAAAGCATAAATGTCTGCATCTCAGGCAAGTGTGAAGTTAAACAGATTATTGATTAATTGCAGAAAAAATTAAAATTCTTAAACATAGTTTACTTACAATTTCAGATAGTGATGACATACTGATGCTGTATTATATCTCTCGTTTATTATTGTGACTGAACCCCAATGTCTCATTATGATTCTGTCACCGTTTCTTGAGTTTAGATTCATTCACATAATCATTTCAGAAAACCGAGCACGGGGCCGGGTGGGCGTGGTTTCATCTCCAGCCAATCATCGTCAAAGGTGTGCTGAGCGTTAGCCAATGAGGAGAGAGTGTCGGAGCGTGATCAGTGTGTGATCCACGCAGTGTGTGCGGGTGATACACAGACGGTCAGCTGTTCGTCCAGATATACAAACTGATATATCCCTGCTGGACCTGATTCATATTACTCTCGTGTTTAATTCACGCTTAGCACAGCGAGCCCTAAAAAGGCGTTATTTTCATCATAGACTAATATCTTCATTAATTCGTCATTATTTAACGCTAAAGGAATGAGTGTTTCTCCATTAAAGGGATAGTTCACCCAAAAATGAAAATCCTGTTATCACTTACTCACCCTCATGTTGTTCCAAATATATGAGTTTATTTCTTCTGCTGAATACAAAAGAAGATATTTTGAAGAATGTTGTTGGTAACCAAACATTTTCTGGTCCCCATTGACTTTTTGGGTGAACTATCCCTTAAAACCTTTGCATTCAGTCTTGAATATTTGATTAGCCAACATCCTTGATTAGTAAGCTGTTATATAACAGTGACCCATCACCAGTAACATATATACCAACACAATCTATCAAGGATGCTGAGTTATTCTCTCTGCTGAAGCACATTCTGCTCAAACTATCCTGATAACATTTTATATAGTGTTAAATGACACATAGGGCTCTGACACTTCGACTCGCAGCATTAACGAGTCATTTGAGGCCTGAATTCCTGGATTGATCCTTGCCCTAGATTTGTATGAGTGCATGTGTATATCTTAGAGGCCAAATACGCTTTTGCTCATGTACTTTACTCCACGACACGAATGCTGATCTTGGAATGTGTCACAGACAGTTATTTTGGTGACTTCTCAGTTGGAGATCATATTACTACACATGTGACCACACAAACAAGCTTAAGCAAGATATTAATAAGTATTAAAGTCATTATGAAATCAGAATGGTTCATTCTTATTTTTTATGGAATATTGCAATGTATAAATGATTTTTTTTTTCATGAATGTGTCTTGTAATCTTGAATCAAAATAACTTCCCCTCCCTCTTGCAGCTCTTCTCTTCTCTGATGATGTGTGTTTACTGGCGCGAGGGTGGGGCAACCTGTCACTCACATGAAATCCACCAATAGCAAACCATCACAACGATCCAATCAATTCCCCACTGACAAAACCAAGTCCTGATCTATGTTCTTGTTCAAGAAGCTATCTCATTTAGGCCCTGTTTACACATGGTATTAACATGCGTTTTAGTCGATCGGATCACAAGTAGACAAGAGACACACCCGTTTTAATCCGTCTCTGTTGTCCTATTTCAAACTGTGTCGGATGCATCTTTACAACACATTAGGTTACTGCCTGTTATCCGATCAACCAAAATCCATCGTAATATCAACTGGGCCTCTCACGTAGGCTACGTCACAATATGAAAGAAAAGATGATCACAACTTCTGTTTCATGCTTTAGACTTTATTTGAAACAAATAGTGACTTTATGATATTGAACATTAAACTTTGATTTGACTTTAAACAATTTTATTATGCATGAAAAAAGAAGTGTGGATTGAAATTAGGAACATGATATGAGATGCACAACTAAAATCAGTTTCCTGCGAAAATGATCAATCAAATATTAGATGGAGCGACTGACCAATCAGGATGGAGCACATTTCATCCTGAAGCTGATCACTATTTTTAGCCCCCTGAATTTTTCCTGTTTGCAGACTCTCATTCGAGCACAAAGTGCACTAAACTCGGGCACCCACATGATTCCCAGAATAGCATGTGATGTGTTTGCACAAAGTCACTTTTTAACTCACTAAACAAAGTTTTGGTTAAAAATAGCATCTGACTGTACCTGTCTGCATTGATTGTCCTTGATTCTTGATGTCATTTAAGATAAACTCACACAGATATTTCATGTCATTATCCTAAATGAAACCAGATATCTTCATTATATCAATAACCAACAATGGGTTAATGAACAAGATAATAGTCCAGAGATAACAAATACAATATCTTTGACAAAATGTATTTGTCAGTCAGTGTCTGCAATATATATATATATATATATAACATAAAACATAAAAATGATTACCTTCATTTTTAAGAACGAGGCCAAAGATTAATTTTTATTGGCCATAATTTAATTCAAAAGAAATCAGAGATAAAACACGGACTATGTGGAGGGTGAGGGTAAGATGAGACAGCATTTTCTTCATTTGTCCTATATTTGAGGTGAAATAAAACAAGAGTAGCCTACTGTAATATTGTATAGTAGAAAGTGATTTAGAAGGAAAACGCTGACACCTGCAGGACGTTACATGATATATTTAGTTCACCCTTTACTAATTACTAACATATTTTGAATTACTACCTATGCATTTATCTGCTCAGTCTCACTTTGAAGAATATTTGTGAAAAAAAGTCTAAGTCACTAATGAAAATATAGATTGCCCTTTTTCCATTAAAAATAATAATATAGCATTGCTCTTGTTTGTTTATATCATGTTCTGCTCCAGTTTCTTTGTGATATTAATATAAGAACAGAAAGATGTAACACAAATTTGTAATTAAGAAGGTTCAACTGACCATTTATATAGTCCATCTCAATTTTCATTACCAGCTAAAATCCCGTTAGAGCCCATCTTATTATTTTAAGCATTAGGGGATTTATCAGTATGAAAAGATACATTACTAGCATCAATAAAGTACATTTCTTAACTTTTTTTGCCCTGCAAATAAACAGAATGTCAGTTTTATTTGACTTTTATTTTATTAACTTTTGACAGTACATTCAATGTAAGAATGATTGCTTTGCTTTGCACACCTCTGATGTTACAGGTGAAAAAGGTGAGTGTTTTTGTAAGGTGGGCATGGCAGCTTTATTGCTATGGGTGCACATACACCACAAAGCATTAAGCATGCACGCACATGTGCGCAGCTATCGAAATGGGGACATTTCATAAAAATAATGTTTTTTATACTGTACAAACTATGTACACTAATCCTACCCATCACAGAAAATGTTGTGCATATTACATTTTCAAAAAACATCTCTTAGTTTTATTTATAAGTAGTTTTCCTCATGGGGACCAAAAAATATCCAACAAGGATTTCAGATATTGCCATCTTTGTGGGGTGGGACATTTTGTCCCCATAACAAACACTCACACATTTTTTTTTCCACTATAATAGTGAGTGAGGACATTGGATATACTTCCAGTGATTTTAAATCATCTTTATTATATTTTCTTTGGCCTAACCCAAACCCCACCTCTAAACCTACCCATCACAGAAACACGTGCAAAACCCTAACCAAAAACATGACCGATTCATAAGCTTTTTAAGTGACCAGTAAAATGTCGTCACAAGCCAGTTGTCATAATAATTCACTAAAAGTGAGGACATTTGGCCCTAAAAAGTGTAGCCACAAACACACACGCTGTCAAAAATATCGACTTTTTGACTTTTACGTCACAATTTCGACTTTTCAACTCATAAATATAACTCAGAGTATGCCATAATTTCGCAATTACGATTTACAAAAGAATGATTGTGTTTCATATGTGACGGAAACGAGTCTCCATAGATAATACGGCAATAACCGTGAATTTATTTACTACAATGACTCAGATCACTCGACGCCAACACAATGACAACACATGGGAAATAAACCCTTGACCCCGCCCCTCTTCCATGTCTTTATCCCTCTCAGCCAATCCACTTCCCCAACACATGTTTTCTCACAACCAATCAGGATCGCCGTTACACGCGCATCCTTTCCAACAGACCCAAAGAAGCTTAAACAGAGTTAAGATGGCGGCATGTGGATGAGGAGGTTGTATATTTCAGCTCTTCGGTTGCTTTTGGCGAAGAAAACACATTCTCAAACCTAACCCGTAAACAAAAGAAAAAAATCCCCCCATAAATTAATTTACCCGGGACCGTGTCCATGACGTCCATTCACTTCGTGGTTCACCCGTTACCCGGGACCGAAGACCAGCTAAATGACAGGTATTTATAAGAAAGAAGCGGTTTACAATCAGTATTTACCCCTGAATGAGGTGAAAGGGGTTTCAAAAAGTGTTAATAAAATCTATAGAGTATTTTAGAGCTGTTGCAAACGCTCAAGGTTGGGCATTTGGGTCTAAAAATAACGAGGCCCGGCTGACTGGAGACACAATGCGGGTTGGGGGATGGGGAGGTGAAAAGAGAGGGAACTGCGATAAATTCACACTTTTACACCCCAAATAAAGACTTTTATTTCAAATGTACGCTTTATTTATTAGGTTTAACTTAAGTTTTCTATGATACGGCGAATGAACGTGAACAGAATTGGCGAATAAAATCCTCTCAGGTTAGCCGGTTAGCCCTTAGCACTGCGCGAGCTCATCTGTTTAATTAATTTATCCTCATAAAATTTGTTGGAAATTATATCACAATCACTGTTTTGACGCTTATCCGTATGGATTGTTTCATATCTAGGGTTGGATTGGTGAACAGTTTTCTATGACAGTTGCCTATAAACGCGAAGATGTCACGATGTTTTCTGCTAAAGATGGTCTCTAGATAAAGAATTGCAATGTTGTGTGTTACGTTTTCATAGATCTTTGGCAGAGTTTATTTCATTGTCATCACTCGTGACATGTAAAAACCCCCCTCCGAAGCTTTAGTTGTAACGTCACTGATAGATACTATGTGTTGTACTCTTGAATTTATATAAAGAACGAATTTTAGTCAACTTGACTAGTCCGAATTATTCCATGCAGTTGGTCATGGAGGTGATTGCTATGGCTGATGACAGCTGCATGAGGAACCCATGTGTTCAGCTGATGGCATCTTTGGACAAAATGGGTGTTGGGATTCTGGTGTTTAATGATGTTTCAAAGCTATGTGTTGGGGTCTCACACTGCAAGTCTCCAAGCATTACACGTTAATCTACTACTAC